CTGTTTAGATAGTTGGAGTTAGATTTTGTGATTGTTAGGTGATGAATGGAGTTAGGTCACAGCATTTAGTGAGAGTTTGAATGATTTTGTGAGGCAAGTTAGGTTTATGGTTGAGAGATTGAGAGAGGGAGAGAGTTTTGGAGAGGGAGATTCAGAGAGAACGGCGCTAGGGTTAGGGTGAGAAGATGAACAGTACCAACGGATGGAAGTGTTAGAGGAGTTTTGAGGGTTTCAATTTTGCTAGGTGAAGATGAGTGGGCTCGGGCACTAGGCCCAGTTCAGATTTCTGACCATACTCCCTTGGTTCCTCGTGACACCCCCTCCCCCTTGGTTTGAATTGGTTTGGGCCTTAGACCCATCTTGCTACTAACACCCCCCATGGAGGGCCCAAACGAGAATTGCAAGCGAATTGTTCGCTATCTGCACCCCTCCCCCGTTTGTTTTTTGGTTTTTTTTCTTTTGTGGTTTTCTGAAACAAACATGGGCCCAGCGTGTTGCTTTCAACACCCCCCCTCCTGGGCCCGATATATTTCCTGAAGTATAAATACTGCTTTTGCCACCCCCTGTTTTGCAATTGTAATTGAATTTCTTTTTTTCTATCATTTGCATATTGGTTACAAAACAATTCATAATAAATCAAAAAATGATCATTTCAACATGGGATTTTTTCCTCCATTTTAACAATTGTCTCAAGAAATTTGTGAAAAAAATAAAAATATTATTTTAGGCATTTTTCCATTTATGGTGAATTTTCACATTTAATTGCATTTTGTTTGTACATACATTTTGGTGAATTTTGTTTAGCAATTTAAATTCATATTTTGATTCCATTCATTTTGTGGTAGTTAGATTAGAACATTAAGTTCCCCCTGGATTTATTCCACATTTTTTGTGGATTAATTTTGATTAGTTTTGATTAGAGAACATTAGGGTGATAGTTTTAGGGTTCAAACTCAATATAGATGCATTCTAACATTTTCTTTTGGGGTTTTTAGCATGAATTAGGTTATGGGACATATAGGGTATGTAGGGTAGATATAGAAATCCCCTTAGAATAAATCTTAGAATTTTAAATACTATTTTACTATTTTTAGTATATTTTGCAAATGGAGTGTTTGTTTGGTGTTCCCACTTGGGGTTTATATCTGTTTGCTTGGGCTTTTGGGCTTTTATTTGGGGTATGGGGCTTGGTTTGGGCTTGTGGAAGCATGAAGAATCAAAAGAGAAGATTGAAGATGATAATCAATGTTGAAGCTTGAAGATTGCTTGAGCTGGGAGTTGGTTGAAGACATAGGAAATAATAGAAATAAGCAGAGCCTTAGAATAGACTGAATTATTTTGTACAAACATGGATAGCTTCATGTGCTTCCATTCTTCTCAATGATTAAAAGTCCCTCTATGATATTCACCTTCCTCCTTTGGAGGGATAAGTGGCTTTATCTAGGAGGTAGAACTTTGAGGGAAACAGTCTGTTACAATGTCAACTATTCATAGACTTCCTTTGGTTGTCAATGAACTGTTTGACATTCAATTTATTCTGATAAATCAATTCTCATCTAGGAGAGCTTGTCTTGAAGAAAAAAGCCATTGAAGATAGAGATGAAGATCAAAGATTGACAAAGATGAAGATTGTTCATGTCAAAGTTGTGCAACTGTTAAAGCTAGGGTTTACTGCTGTTTGGAGCTATCTGCTGTCTGATGCTGTCAACTGGTTAAGATTTTGTGCTTGCTTGAGCTTGGTGATTTCTTGAAGATGGAAGCTTATTGTAGCTTGGGTCTCATTGGAGCTTGACTTTGGGATTCATTGGGAGATTGTTGTTAATCAACTGTCAGAGTTTGCTGTTTTTCATAGTTGCTGCTGTAGGAGCTGGGGTGCTGTCAGGGCTGGTTTTGGGGTTTTATTTTCTTTGCTGTATTGTTTGTTAATTTCCCTTGAGGTTGAGGTGAAGCTGTTTCACTTTGCTCATTGTTTTCTAGGTTCGAGGTTGAGTGAGACTCCCTTGCCTCGCTTGTATTGCTGCATTCATGCATTTTACCGCTTTACTGTATATGTGATGTTTCTTTTCCGTTTATCCCTTAGGATCTCTCTTTCTCTCTATGCAGGAGAGAAATATGACAGACATTAGGTGTTAACCCATGCATGACAACATTAGGGTAGATTTTGATTCCCATTTTAACCCTAGGTTTTAGAGCTCTTTCTCTTCTATCTCAAAACAATCAAAAAATAGAATAAAAGGTTAAACATCAATAAAAAACAGTTCTTAGGTAAAAGACTGTAAACTAATCAAAGAGTCATTTTTGTCCGTTTGGACCCGTAATCAGGAGATAACCTTTTTCAGAAGGATAAAAACAATCAAGACAAACTTGTGTCGTACGTGGCCCGAACTACGTTTGTTTTGATCTTTCATGTTGTATGAAAGTACGTAGGCATAGGATGCGATATCCTAGCGAGTAACCTTCCCCTCCTTTCCCGTAGGTAGGCGAACTACGTTGACTCTGATTTCTCGTTCCAGACGGGAATACGTAGGCATAAAGTGCGATACTTTTTCGAGTCATTTTCTATTCCTTTTAACCCAGACTTGTAGAGTAGATAGAATAACAATCCGTACTAGAAAACAAGCGTGGATCCCATCGAGTACGACGGACGTGAGGGGTGCTAATACCTTCCCCTTGCGTAACCGACTCCCGAATCCAGGATTTGGTTGCGATGACCATTCCTTTCCCGTCTTTGCGGTAGGTTTACTCTGAGCGTTTCCTTTCCCTCCTTTGGGATAAATAACGCACGGTGGCAACTCTTCTGTTCAGCCGGCGCCGATTTTCGCAGTAGCGACATGTTTTATTTTTAATAGTTTCGTTTCGATCCTTATTAACGGAAGCCCTTCGAAGGATTTTAAGGTTGGAAGAGGGTTGAAGCAGGGCGATCTGTTGGCACCGTATCTGTTTGCCATAGTTGTAGAAGGCCTTTCTTGTTTAGTTAGAGTTGCGGCTGCAGGAAACTTGTTATCTGAATTCAAGATCAACGGTCAAGCCACTGTGAACCGGCTCCAATTCGCCGATGACACTCTGCTTATAGGAGATGGATCGATATCTAATATTTGGATTTTCAAGGCGATCCTGCGTGCGTTTGAATTGAGCTCTGGTCTGAAGATTAATTTTTCTAAAAGTTGTCTTTACGGAATAGGTATAGAAACTGCGTTCCTTGATGCAGCAGAAGAATTTCTGCACTGTAAATCTGGTAGGTTGCCCCTCAGTTTCCTTGGTCTTGTGGTAGGAGGTAATCATCGTCGGAATTCCTTCTGGAATCTGGTTCTGTCTCGGTTGAGGTATAAACTTTCTAATTGGGCTGGGAGAAATTTGTCGATGGGAGGTAGAGTTTCCCTCGTTAATTCGGTTTTAGTTAACATGCCTATTCATTCCTTGGATTTTTTCAAGGCTACCAAGAAAATTGTGAACCATATTATTGCTATCCAATGGCGTTTTCTCTGGGCTAGGAATTCCAATAAAAAATTCATCTCTTGGGTATCATGGAATGCTATCTGCAAATCTAAGGAGCACGGAAGCCTTGGTATTAAATACGTTGGTCATTTAAATAGAGCCCTTATAGCAAAATGGTTGTGGAGATTCCAAAATGGTTGTAATGAAATCTGGAGATCGACACTAAATCTCAGATACAGTAACTTGAGTTTGAAGGTGCAGACTTATGCTGATGCCGGTGGTTCGGAATTAGACTCAAATTAGATGAAGGATACTCTCTCTAGTTCTAGCAACAGTTTCCATGAGGAATTCTGTCAGTTCACGGTTTGCAAGATTGGTGATGGTTGTGATACGACATTCTGGCATTCCATTTGGATCGGAGAGATACCGCTTAAAAGTAGATTTCCGCGTCTATTTCAGGGTTGTTCCCGTAAAGTCGCGAGTGTTAGTGAGATGGGAGCTTGGGAAGACGGTCAACGGAGTTGGAATTTGAGTGATTTGATGATAGACATGGATTACATTTATGAACCAGAGTGGACTGAATGTAAGTTGTTTTTGGATCAGAATGTAGCAAAAATAAATGTCGCTAATAATAGGAAATGGATTCTTGATGAATCTCATTCGTACAAGGTTAGTTCTTTCTATTCCGTTCTAAATTCCTCTGCATCTGAGTTTGATTTTCAAAGAGATAGCGTTATTTTTCTAGAGACCCTTTGGAAAACGGTGATACTGGCAAAAATTCAAACTTTTATTTGGAGGATGGCGTTAGATAGGCTGCCTACTAAATCAAACTTGTTGAAAAGAAGGGTGATTGTTGATCCCCAACTTTCGGTTTGTGCTTTCTGTTCGTCTAGTTTCGAGGACATTTCTCATCTATTCTTCTCGTGCTCTAAATCCTTGATGGTTTGGAATAAGATCTGCGAATGGGTTGATATTGGGTTCATATCGAAGGATAGTTGTTATCTACATGCAAAGGCTTGGAATTCGAGACTTTCGGGCCGGTGCAAAGAGAATAAGATCAACTCAATTTGGTTTTTTTCGTGCTGGAGTTTATGGAGGGTCAGAAATAACATAATTTTCAATCATGAAACTTTTGACGTAGAAGACATTGTTTTCGATATTAAAGTATCATCGTGGAATTGGTTGAGTCTAGGAAGGAAGGATAATAAGCATTGTAGCTTGTACGAGTGGTTTAAATTTCCGTTTGATTTTTTGTAATAGTCCAGAATCTTAAGGTGGTTGTTGTATTGTTGTCTTGAGATTTTCTTAATCTCTTTTTAATAATATTTGCTTATAAAAAAAAAATACCGATAGAAATAATATTTATCTACAGAAAAAAATCTGGATATGAGTGAACAAAATTCTTAGTAAAAGAAAAATCAATGTTATATTTAGTTTCATGCGTGAACAGCAAGCAAAAGCATGAGATTCCTTTCCTTACATCTATAAAATAAGGTTTTGGTTGCAACATTCAAACCATCCAAATACAAAAATTCTAATACCAATTTTCAAGTAAATTTATAAGAATGTCATCTCGTGTGATGAAAAACCTCCTCGCCATGCTTGAGGCAGAAGAAGCCGAAGCATGGAAATCCAGCAACCTTGGTACTGCTACCGCATTTAACTACCATGATACTGCTAGTGCTAACCCATATAACAACCATGGTACTGCTAACGCATTTAACAACTATGATACTGCTAGTGCTAACCCATATACCAACCATGGTACTGCTAACGCATTTAACAACCATGGCTGGAACCAAAATTTCTCCAGTGCCAGAATCAACAGCGGTGCGAATTCTTGGGACAGAAAGAAATACCGCACCACCCACAACGTTGGTGGTCGCACCGTTAACAACAGTGGTACTTTCCATGGTAATGGCAATGGAGGGTATACTGAGCGTAACTCTGAAGTATCCACAATTAACTATTACAAATAGTTATTTTATATGTATCTGTGATCTAAATATGCTATATGCAAGTAATAATTAAATTGAAGCTATAAATAGTTTCAATGTTTTGTTCGCTGTATGTTGATGTATTGAAGGTTCAAAATAAAGGCACCAGTGTTGCTATAATAAATCTCCATCTGTTTTAATGGTTGCTAGTAGTATTTCCTTTTGGTGTGAATCTCTCCATATTTCTTCGGATTTTCAAATAATGGTCAAATATAATATGATCTATTTTGATAAATCCATTTCTCAACTTCCTCTTGGGAGATTCAACCGTATCAAACATAAACAATGCTTATTTAGGTTACAATCAGATAGGGCCCATCCTGTGCAAGAGCAGCAAGCTCTACCGTATGGTTCCAAATATTAGAGGCCCCAAACTTTAAAAGTTGTAATTTTTTTATTAATATTAATTGATATAAAAAATATATTATAACAAAAAATTAATAAAATAAAATAATTTCATACACTCATTCACTTACTTGCGTGTGAAGTAATAACTAAAATCCTTGATTTTTGCATGAATATATATCGTTAGGTAGTTGGGCTTGGGCTTTGATCATGATTTATCACCATTTGAATGTAATAGGTTTAATGAATTCAAATCCAAGAAGAAAGGATCAAATGCCTTGAAAATTTTAGTATGGGAACCAAAGTTAAAAGTGTATTAGAGGCCAAAAATCAAGCTAAAGTTGTTATGCAAGGAATCCTCGATAAGCGAATATAAGACAAAAACGTCTACCTTGCAAAATAAGTCAAATTCATTAAGCAAATCACAAATTGCCTAGCAAATGAAAAGCGGATTCAAAAGATCAATTAAAAACTTATAAATATAGCAGTTGTTTGTCAAGCGTGAGGTCAGTAACTCTGAAGGAAGAAGTAGATTTAGCGCAGAATTGAGAGATCGATTGTTGTCATTACTATATGTAACAAAGTTCTCTTTTATTCGTGTTATATTTTGACTCTATTATGACATATATGTATTATTTGTGATCATTATGTCTGTTTTAGTTATTCAACTTTATTGATCTTTATGTTTGTGTCTAAGGCATGTTATGTGTTGGTCATGTGTGTGAATCTAATCTACTCCTGAAAAGAATTCTTAGGTTTAGACCAATGATATGGATGGAAGTTGTTGTGGTTAAAACACTTGTGGTATATATTCCAAGACTTAGTGTTGAAGCACAGATGCGGAGACGAATGAACATTATCTATCATGTTAAGAAATGTAGTTCTTAACCCTACAAAATCGACTGGTAGAGTGAATACATGTTTATGTCATATATGGTCGGATGTAGGACTCTTTAACATATCAAAACTAAATTGCCAAAGGAATAATCTTTATCTACAGAAAAGAAATTGTGGATAGGAATGAACATTTGGCGGGAGATGCTCTTAATCAAAGTTCTTTAGCTCTTATGAGTTTAATGTTTATGATTTTAATGTATAAAGATGAGTTTATGCGCATGTAAATTTTTCTTACTGTAAACTCTTATGCGTTTAAGTAAATTCTAACAAAATATAAATTTTGATTTCACTACCATTTTACAATAGTTTATGTTTTTATAATAGTTTGATCTTAGAGTATAATAGCTTGGTTTTATATATAAGAAGAGAAAATGCATTAATGCGAGCATAAGGAATACTCTTTAGTCAGATAAAGAGTAAGAAAGAAAATAAAATGAGAATGCTCAGAAAAAAATTTTCTATTCTTTTTCATTTAATTTTCTATCTAAACCTCTTAGCAACTTACCTTTTTTTCTCCAAGTTAAATACAGTAATTTCACTATACTAAAAAAGACTTTTAGCAGTGTTTTTTTTCCCCTATAACAGCGTTGTCTAAATTGGCACTGCTAAAGGTAAAGAAAGCGCTCTTTTTAAGTAAAAAACGCTGCTATAAGCCCACTTTTAACAACGCTTCTTCCCCCCTTTTTAGTAGCGCTTTTAGAAGCGCTCTCTAAAGTATATTTCCTTAATACCTTTAGCAGTGTTTTTTTATTAAAAGCGTTCTTTATTCCCCCACCTTTAGCGGCGCTTTTTAAAGTGTATTTGCTGAATACATATAGCAGCGATTTTCTTAAGAAAAGCGCTACCTTTTCCCCCCTTTTAGCAACTCTTTTTTAAGCGCTCTCTTTTCTACCTCTATAGCAGCGCTTTTAAACGCGCTCCCCCCCCCCCCCCCCCCCCCCCCCCCTTTTAGCTGAGCTTTCACGTCATTGAATTTTTTTTTCAAAAAAATCACTTTTTCATAGCGTTTTTTTTTTGTAAAAGCGCTGTCTATTTTGCATATTTTTATGAAGTGATTTTTGTTGAATTCAGTTGCACAATTCTTTATAATTTTTCACATAAACTTGCTTATAACAATTATATTTACCACTGGCCTTTTTTTCAACACTTTGGCCTTACATATACCATAACAATTCAATACATAAACCTGCTTATAATCATTGTAATTCAACACAGAAACCTGCTTATAATCATTATAATTCAACACAAACCATTATTTCAACATATATATATATATATATATATATATATATATATATATATATATATATATATATATATATATATATATATATATATATATATATATATATATATATATATATATATATATATATATATATATATATATATATATATATATATATATATATATATATATATATATATATATATATATATATATATATATATATATATATATATATATATATATATATATATATTATAATTCAACAGAAACAATCCATAATTCTAAAATATATTCCAAAATCGATAACATCACAAATATATTCACTATACATATAATTACAAATTCCATATATTTCGGATCCTCACAATAACTAGCTTCTAGAAGTATATCAATAAATTTCATATATATGACTTCCAGAACTATAATTATCCAGTAGTATGTACATAATATCACAACAATACAAATCTCTATAAACTCCGATCAAAAGACAGAAAGACAATATGTATACCTTATACAATTCTCATCTCAAGAATGTATTGACATCATTTCTCCTTAATTTCTTCTAATTTGTATTTCAAGTAAGTATCACACTTAAATTTATTAAAGTACTACATAATATAACATAATATGCATGATTTAGTTTTGAAATTAATTACTCAGATGAAATATCAGATAAATACTAAAATAAATCATATAACTTATAAATCCATACCATGTTTGGAATCTCTATTTGACCCGAATGAATAATTTTCTTCATAAACCTCAATACAAAATATCCACAATCAATCTCATTGCGCTGACGAGGACACTATAAATGAAAAAAAAACGAATATATTAGGATATATAGTTTAACTAGTTTTATCATGTAGAATCACTATAATGTCAAAATTGTGAAAATATACCTGCACTCTGATCCAGCTAATGTTGTTAGCCTTACTTTTTGGTAGTCTTGCTTGTCTTTGTGATCGAAATATTTATATAGCTCTAACATAATATAAACGAATATTTAGAACAATCTCACATAATAAATAAAGATAATTATTCAGAACAATATATCCCATCACTTACGTATCAACCGTATTCTTCATATAAGGATATTTTGTTTGATCACCATCCAATGAATCCAAATAATACACTATTTCTTATATCAGATTAATCGCAACCAAGAATCAGTGTCCACTATAAAATAAGACAAAAGTTTAGACAAAAATGTTATATAGAATATCTAAAAACAAATAATTATAATAAATGAATTTAGAATGAAATCTAACCCATGACCAGTATTATATGGAAAAAAATAAAACTTTTCTGTATCTGTGGTCATAAATGTTTGGACTAAGTAATCTCTGACTACATCTGGAGTGTGATCGATTAACCGTGCGTTAACACAGTTAAAAGATAAGAATGCGAATCTCTCTATCAATTGATGCGGGACCAACAACTTGTCATACAAGAACCTTAAATAAAAACATAATCAACATTAGAATATTCATTGAAATTAGCAAATAAATTCTTCAATTATTTAATTAAAATTGATCGGAGTACCTAATGTATGAATGCATAACACTGATGCCTAATTCAGAATGTTGGAAAATATGATCCAAATCCTCTTTAGCAATTGTTTCGGCATAAGCAAAATCGAAAATACCTTTATTCATAGGAATTTGACAAATGCCACCTTCCACCACATCTGTTGTTCCTACATATGTTTCAAGGCACAACCTAAATCGAGGAACATATGCTTTTTTTGGCTCGGCCTTTTTTTTGTTGGACACCTTGCTAGATTCAGACATCTTACCCTTGCTGACTTGTTGCAACTCTTGAGCATGAACCTAAAAATCATATAAGTTAGGTAATTAATGTATAAGATCATAAAGCTATTGAAATCAGAGGATATAATTGACATTTTCTATGCATATATATATATATATATATATATATATATATATATATATATATATATATATATATATATATATATATATATATATATATATATATATATATATATATATATATATATATATATATATCAATTAATGTAGGAGTACCTGTTTTTTTCATGCAGCTGACTCGGTTTCCCGCACAATTCCCTTACCTTTTGATTTGGATTTTGTAGGAGTCTAAGATCATCATGTAAATAAATGGTATGTAAATGTAAGAATAACTTACATGTATGGGTCGTAAAACATTTGAATACTACAAGGTTCATATTGGTGTTCAACCTACCTAATCATCTATGAAAATGAGATTTGACGGCCATGCAATATACGATCCTATTGTGTATCCCACCAATGTTGCATCTGAAACATCGTCTGGTATAGGAAATAACGCACCCCCTATAAATCAATATCAATCGATACTTTCAAAAATCTAGTAGAGAGCGGTTTATGGTGAAGTAAGTCTCCCAAAGTGTTATGCATTTTTCCCTTGCCAACCATGTGATAAGTTAGTGACGATAAATAAAGCCGACAAGGTAAAATGCTAAACCAGTAATGAATATGATTAA